CTGTGATGGCAATTTGAGGCAAAGCTTTTCACAAATAATTATACCAATCGAGTTGTGCATGTCTTAAAAGGTTTTTCTAAATAGTTTTGTTCATATGAGTTAAATATAATCTATATTTTTGGTCACGTTCTTATAGTAAACAGTCGTTGCTATGGCCGTTGCCAAGTGAAAAAACTTATACCACTGTGTACTTTCCTTAAATTTCACACTCATCTGGAAGGAAATTCTGCATGATCGTTTCAAAATGTTTTTGACAAGTCCTCAAGGGTCTTAAGTCTAGTATTTCCTAGAAATTGAATTTTTCATGAACATCGCCATATTTTAGGGTACCATACCCCCTTAAGAGTGTTAATCTCCCATGGAGCCTGCTGCAGTACAGGCGTATTTTTGGCGCTAGAGTGCACATTTTCGTATTTGGCCGCCATCTTGGATTTGGTAACTGTGAAGGGCTGCCCCCCCCCCAACCATCACCCCTACCCCCCACACTCTGACCCAACCCTCTAGATGGGGGCTTCGAGAACCTGGTCTATCGAGTGGTTCCGTTTCAAAATAACACCTGCATTACAGGCTATCTAACATAGACCTTATCAGAAAAGCCTACGATCCTAGTCTCTTGCCTTATTCCTACGGTAATCTCTCTTAAATCGTTGTGGTACAACTGAACCATTAATCTGTCACCGCTCTAGTAAAATTTAGGATGAAGCAGGTTACAGATAAGAAGACTTAAACTGTAAGTTGTATTTCATTCAATTCAATTTCGTTGCAAATTTCTCTACAGAGCTCGTGTGAAAAGGCCATCCTTAATTCTTCCTCTTGTCCGTCATCTTTCCGTTATTTGTACAGAATTGCACATGCGGTTTGTTATTGGCAATTGCTCGCGATTTAGTTTTCCTGCCCAAGTGTTACTGAACCGTTCCTAGGCTAAGCATTAGAGCAGTTTTCATTTAAGCGTCCAAATGTAATTAGTTTTGCATTACTACGCTACACGATTGGCTTAAAAAAACTCGCGCCAATATTTCATCCAATCAGAAGTGAAACCAAAACCAATCGTAACCCGTTCGCATGTGTTTTCCCGCGCTTGTGTCAGCTACCTGTAATTAATTACTTCAAGTTTTGAGCTGGGTCTCCGTGTTGTCTGTGTCCTTTGTGATTGGCCAAAGCGGTGACTACTTTGGTTTTGGTTATAGTACACTCAACTGAAAACCGCTCTAATTTCTGTAAAGTTATGTCATCGATTATAGAGTGTGTTTGGGTCCATTCTTAGACATCCCTCGAGCAGACCAACAATGTACGGGTGAGAATAGAAACAGCCTGATGCATAGTTAATAATAGAGAGAAATGTTTGTGAAACCTGGCAAATTTTCTTTGTTATATGTTTCTGTTTACTATTTTGGGGGTTGTCCCTACACAATACCTGGTAACATACAAAGAGTGGTTATGTGTGCTCATACAACTAACCAATAGAAGCATTGCGATTATGTAATTCATGCATAGTCTTTGGGCATAAAACAAAAGATGTGCAGGGTCAAGGGCCTTCCAACATAACTCTTGGCCTGTTTGTTTGCTTCTTTGTTGTTTACCGGTCCTCTTAACCCTTTCCCTTTATTAACTACGTTTGATGAGGGTACTTTAACAAGAGGGATTTAGTTGTAATCTTTGGTGTCACTCCTGTCTTAACGTCAACGCCTACTCATTCTTAACGTTAATGAGTGCCATTCGTAATTGCAATACAGTAGCCATAATTATCAAAATGGATGAAGATGGTCACCAAACTATATGAAACCAGCAAGTGAACAATATGTACTTCAAATTAACAACCTAAGTTAAGTTCTTTTTCAGCAGATGACAAAATAAAGACATTTGTAGCATACATAAGTGTCTAGAGTTTGATTAATCTTGACCTGTTACACATGTGTCAGTGATCTCCTACTTTGTCTGTATTGGTATGATCAAGTATAATTGTTCTCGCTTGGCCCGAGCTTGTTTAAAGTCTTTCAAACCGCTTTCTACTAGACGTCATTCCTCTCTAATCTAGAATGCATGTTTCTTTTTGACATTTATTGATTAGACCTGAAACCTTACAGTGCGATTGCTCTGAATTGGGCCCCTTTGAAAGGAGTTAACCAATCAGAACGTTACCTGAGAACAAAAGATAGCGATCATTTTCTCAAATAAACCAACAACATTGAATGACATTTGGTTCTCGCAAAATGAATTTTCAAGCTAAATTTTTCGAGTGAGATCTATAATTATAATAATTCATCGTCAAGGACTGAATCTCTAAGAGTGTGCATGACGCAGAGGAATCAATAGTGATTATGTTCTCACGTCAAACAGACCGCTACTTGCCGTCACCAGAAGCTACCAGTCCATTGTAGCTCATTGTTCTAAGTTTACGTTTTGATTCGTTAGTTTTCTTCTTGCTAGGTTCTAGAAGTCGCACTTTAACAAGGTCAAAGATAAGTCACCAATATTGTTAAAAGTTATCATTCTTTATCAGAACACAGAGAGAGAGTAACATTCCCTTGGCCCGCCTCAATATGCGTGCCTTCTTAAAGGACCGGAAGCACTTAAATCATAAAAAACGCAGGAGTTTTCGCTCTCGTTTCACATGTTTTTATGGGCTTGAAAAGGAACCAGAGAGCTGGAAATTCAATATTTTTAATCGTTATTTTATTGTTTTAAGTTGATATCAACTGTATATGATATGAGCCAGTAATTTAAAACTCGAGGTTATTAAAACGAAAGTTCAGATTATTTACTGAGCAGACATTACAAATGACGTCAAGAGCAGTTCAAGAATCTTTTGTATAGAAACAATATCACTTTTTTTTTCCTGTTCTAACGCTGAATGTAATTCCGCTGTGTACGTGTTCTCTGTCATGTGTGGTAAATTTGTTACCAACATTAATGCCCTTGTATTTTCACCAGCACTTATCATAGCAAAGAATGTGACACAAAGGTTAACCCACGGACGGAAGAGCTCCAGACTGAATGGATGATGTTATGTTTAGTGATAACTGAATGGTTATATGATAGTCACGTTGCAGAACTATTAGCATTAAATCAACGTCATCCTGTTTTCAAATTGAAGGGATATCTACGCGTAAATAGATCGTAGAGTTCTTGATTAAAACGACCTACGGGGTAGAATTGCTTCAATCTTCTTTTCTAAGCTGTAAGCATTGCCAGAATACGCGAGAGGCTGTTAAACTCGACGACATCACTCTCGCATTAATCCCAATGGAGAGAACCGAACGGGGAAAGCCGGTAAGTTATTCACTTTGGTAAGATCAGAGAATGACAGTAAATTGTAATAACAAGCAGTGGTATCTTCTGAATCTTTGCTTCTCGCTTTATCATGACGAAGTTTTAGCGACGAAACTAGGTAATGAGAGCTTGGAAACAATTGGTATTATCATAGACACAGCGAGCTTATACAGCGTAGCAGTTATACTTTATGTAGGCTTGTATATTCTATGGTTCTTTCTATTACAGCTGCAGCAATGAAGCGTATGACAGCCTGTAGTTGTGCGAGAGGTGGCCTTCACAATCCACCTGAACAAACATCTTGTTCTGCAATCTTCGGAAACGCGCAAACCTGATTATGATTGTATACACTAAAAAACTCCTTATGATAAACAAACTTGTTGCAAATCACGCGACGTTTGACTGAAGTACCGGAGCTTATTTTATAGCCTAGTTTTCTGGTCAAATAACGGGGTAAAAAGGGAATCATTGGAATGGATTTAACGACAAAACTAAAGTTTGGCCTTTGCGACTTTAGTGACGTTAGTTGGTACAAACGTGATATCGATACGGTCCACAGACCTCTTTGTGTTCACGGGTAACTTACGAAAGAATAGCGGAGTAAAAAGTGATGCTTTGAGGTTAATCGACAGGAACCGCCAAGGAAACCACAAATATATAGTTTGCTTTTGTCGACTGGTTTAGATCTAAAAACGAATGCTTCAGTAAAATGAATCTGTTTTAAATAATGCGATTTAAGTAAAGACTTCCGCTTTTCTTCACGTGGAATTTGAAGTCAAACTGGAGGTTCCAATCAGAGAAGTAAGTATAAACTTTTAAAATTCTCGTCAAATTCTTCATTGATACATTCTTAATCGAATTAAAATCAAGTTGAGCCGGAAATGAGTTTCGTGCGTGTAGGCTTTCGAAAGCGAATAGTTGCAGCTAATGCTTTACAGCGTGGGTATTTATTACTTTCGAATAAGCGGCAAAAAATTCAATCTTTCTCAATTTCGATTAAATTACCGACCGCTCTGTGTGGGTCCGGCATTGTGAAATAGGAATAGCAAAAATGAACTTGAGGAGGACAAGATCACGAACGATTGATTTGTTGCAAAGTTGAACTGATGCATTGACGAATAAAGGAATGAAGGAATGAATGATAGGAAGAAAGAGGGAAGTTATAAACGAACGAACAAATAATCTCCAAACAACGGCTGTCGGAACGAATGAATCTCTATTTGGCTGAACTGAGCATAAACAAAAACCATTTTAATCATTTAATTTAAGACAATGCTCCTGAAATAGATTCGTCATTATCTCTTGATCTGTGGTTCACAAGGCTGACGCTACATGTTTTCTATAAAAAGAATTCAAACTTCTCCCAAAGGCATAAAGAAATCTCAAAACAGGGTGATAAGACATTTGACAGCTGAGACATTCAAAACAATCAGTCATTCAATACTGTGTTTTTACTCTAAAATTGTTGGCCTTAAAATGCAGGCTCCTACTATTCCATTTCTCAAAAGATTTTAAAGAATGATTTGCATGAAAAAACAAGAAATTTTGAATAGGTCCAGGGAGTCAGGTTTTGAAGATGTCGTAAGATAATCAGTTGCAATCCAATTACTCTAATCTAAAAGCAGTTTAGTGCTATTATTAGAAACTGTTGTTAGTATATTGTGCTCTCATAGCCATCTTATTTAATTAAATTTGGCAAATGTCAGGCTCCATCGGGTAACTTAATTCATTCAATCTATGTGAACCGTAAAATTTCTTAAATTTCTCCGCCAACAGCGTTATTTTGTCCATTTAATTGCCACGGTGTTTGATTCATGACCTGAGTATTGTTATCGAGCCCCAGTTGAGTCAGAAATCATGAAAACTCGCAAGGCTTAGCCGAGTTTTAAATGGTGTTTAAAGAAGAAAAATTTGCTCGATTGATGCAAATACAAAGAGTTTTTTGTTTGCATTTCGTAAAAAAGAGGTTTATATTTTGTTGCACCAGGCTGAACTGTATGAGAACGACAGCTGAACCAAAAGGTTAGTCAGAAAAAAAACCCTCTACTTAATTTATATCTGTATAAACTGGCATGAGATGAAATACATGTGTTTATTATTCACTGCATCTCTTCAGGGATACAATTTGCGATGTAGACCCATAGGTTTCTTTAATTGGTGTTGCAATGCTCCAGGCAGGTGTATTAGTGATTTTAAACTGCTTTGTTATAACCCAATTTCAGTTGGAGTGGAAGAAGTCTGTTACTGGCAAAAAGGAGCCTTAATACAGTAGATAACTAAATCATTAAGAAATCAAAGGTCGGTAACATGCACTACTGTTTAAGCAAAAATAAGATTGTTATAGCCGGCCATAATATGAGCCGACGCTGACCAGATTATATATACTAGAGGTCTTTAAAGACCCGACGTCTGTACAATATGCTAATACAAACTGTTATGCTCGATTTCCATACGATAAGCAAAATTTCTTTTGCTAAATATAGTTCTTTCAGATTTTCCAGAATTGAGTACTATAAGTGTAAATTGAAGTACACATGCTTCGTATAAGGCTTTTGATCACTTGTAATTAATAGTTTAGGATTATCTATTCGTCGTGAATCTAAAGAAAAAATACCACTGTCGAATTTCTAGATAAACGTTTATGTTCGAGATTACCAGCTGGTGATGTAAACTATAGATATTTAAGGCCCTGTTTACAAGGGGTAGGGTAACCCAGTGCTGGGGTTACCTTGGCGACGCCCTCATTTCATAGACATGTTTACAACGAAGGTAGGGTTACCCTAGCGCCAGGGCAAACCCGCCTACGTAACGCTTTGCCAGGGACAACTCGACTACGAGACAACTTTATTTGGGCCAGAGTTGTCCCGGATGGTAAGGTAACCTTACCTGAAACAATGAAACTACAGCGCAAATTTGGCTGTAATTTTCATAAAACGATTCAATTTTGCCCATATTTTAGTAATCCAAATAGCCTTATAATTTTTGCATTAAAAATTAGGTTTTTGGTCTCCAAATATGTGCCTAATTAGCGTTATTACTTCCCCTTTGTTACCACTGGACGTATTCAGAATCACCTGCTCGCGAGAATAGAAGTTAGAAGGAACTAGGAGGACTTTATATATATAAACTTATTTTTTTGTGTGCTACGTTAAAACGATCATTTATAAACATCATAACTTGACCCCAGTTAAGTCCCACGTTTAGTTCTTCATTGGATATCTGAGACATTTGACGGCTAATATTGGCTTGCTCGTGTGACGGTTGACGGAAAAAAAATATTGCGTTTTTGAAGGTTGACGGTTAATCCTTTTGAGATCCTCTTTTTGTGGCCCGCGCACTTCGTGCTTGGTCCAAAGATCAAAGAGAAAAACTCGGTCTGAAGAAATATGAGTTATACAAATCAGTGCAACAGTTCCATAGATCTGAGCTAGATTTTTACTTGTATTTATTTCTTCGCAGTTTGATCTTTACGAACCAGCCGACGTCATGTACGAACCCCACTTGGTTGCTCCGCCCCAGGAACGGCCGCGCAGCACTCGGTCCCACTCACTCAAGTCGATGAGTCAACCTAACCTTCTTACACCACGTACTAAACGACTCTACAGTCTCCCCTCCAGACCTGTTATTCCACCTCACATTACCATACAAGGCTGCCATGACAACAAGGACAGTCATAGCGAAGAAGAAGAGCCAAGTTGTGAGTGCAGTAATGACAGCATGGGTAAGAGAACAGAGAAAGGTTTTTTTGAAATCTTTTTTTCCTTGATTTTTTACCAGTTACATGAAGAAAGCGGTTCGTCAACGGTTGGGCAAATGATAAGATGAAGTGCCTGGTGTCAAGTTGCGTTCAGATTGGCCATTTATCATTTACTAAAAACAAGGAACAATTTACCGAAAGAGACTAGGACGAGTTAAACCTGATCATAATGCCAAGATGGTGGTGAAGAATTGAAATAGTAAGCACATTTTTTACTCAGATATTTTGGTTGGAAATTTTGGACTACCTTTCAAGACGTTCCATGTATTTCTAAACTTTTCTGATCGGTCGAGTCATAATCACTTACCATTCTTACCATTTGAATTCTGGCCGAAATTTCCGGAATTTTCGAGTAATTGGTAAACAACCCTTAATTTGTCACTTGTTTTGGACTTCTTCGAACAAAAATTACAAGGTTGTCTGTTACAAGTTTTGGACCCGGGGATGCATGGGTGTACATGCCGCTTTGGGCCTGAGTCTGTGTTTAGAGTACTTCAAGAAGTTGTACAGCGAGTGAAGATTTAGTTTACATGGACCGAGGCAGTATTTGACAGCTAGTAGTCAAAACTACTGATTAACTTGCAGCCTTCAAGTGCCGTTCGTGTAGCGTTACACTACAGCAACTAGATACTAGTCACTGCCAACTAGTTAGCATAAGAGCAACTTGATACACAACTAAAGAAGCGGGGTCTTCATCAAAATAAGGTCACCTGCAGCCTCGCTGCCATTCAAAGACCAGGTTACTGAACGGAAAACTGTAAATTTTTTATCTTTTAGCATGGTACACGCCAGTTGTTGGATTATCCTGCAGTCTTGTGATATATGCCTGGTCATGCGCACTCGCCTATTACTCTACAACGTGACGTTCTGGTATGGATCTTTGCTTGACGATTTTTGTGAAAGCTTTGATATTTTTACCTGCGGAGAAAAAGATATATATGAATCTGCCTTATTGTTCCAAGTATATTTCTGTGTAAACCATATTTAAGTGGTGGATTTTGTAAGGGTAATGTTTCTGTTCCCATTGGACCATTGACTTGTCTCTTCCAATCTGGTCTGTCTTTCACAACGGTGACAGCTTCATTCCAAGTGGCAAAACCCATATCCAGCCTCTCTCCCTCTACAGTTCTCCTCCATGTCTCCCTTGGTCGAACTCTGCTCCTTTTTCCCTCAGGTACCCAGGTTAGGGCAATGCCTGGGTTCTGTGGTGGTCCACACCCAGTACATGCCCTATATCCAGTGCCACGTCTGTCTCCTAATCTGCTCATTGATGGTGCAAGTCCTAGCTCGTCGCCACGCTTCTTCGTTGGTAACCCTCATCGGTCAATATATCTTTAACAGCCTCTTTAGACACTTGTGGAGGAATTTGTTCAGCTTACTAGTGGGACGCAAAGCGATCTTTTAACAGTACGCAACAAATTCTTTACGATATCTCAACTCAAGAACTGTATTGCTCCGCGCGAAAACCACAAGATCTTAAGAACAGAACAAATTAAAGTGTTTCTAGCCGTAAAAGGCAATCTTTTGTATAAAGAATATAAAGTTTACCTCTCAGTCTTCTGAGCCTCGTAACTCTGTTTGCATGACCGCCACAAAACACGCAAAAACCGAAAACTCCGAGCTAAATTTACGATTTCCCACAACCGTGCGTTAATTTCTGAGCGTATACCGCCAGATAAGTGTGAGGGTACGTTCCCGCAAACCGACACTCAAAATTGGCTTAAACCATCAAACCGCCAGAGCATAATAAACCCTTTCCTGTTGTCAAGTTAGCCACTTGACTAATTCAAATATTTATTTCTGTTTTGTGTCTTGAATTTTCCATTTTAGGATCAGGAAAGAGAGAGGGGAATGCAGTGTGATGTGAAAGCGCAGATTTGGTACGGATGCCAGAAATAAACCCGAGTAGATGAAAAATGGTTTATCAGGAAATGGAGTCGTGCCGAAATCGAAATTCATTGACGCAAACCTTCACTGCACTCAGGAGTGAAAATAGATCACTAAACGAGAGATAAAAGATATGAACCTAGCTACCGAGAAAAATGAAAAGAATTACATGTTCTTGATATTATTAGTAGGCATAAGGTTGTAATAAGTCATTGGCAAAGTGCAAAAGCTCCGAGCAATATTAAACATGAGATTTCTGTAACACTTCTACTGTTTTTTGCTTCACATATAGAATGTTTATTGGAACTTACCAGCACTTTACACACAGCGACTAAGTGTGACGTGGACTTCTTTGCATGAAGACCTGTTTACTGAGGAGTTTTGACAGTAGACATAATAAAGTTGACATGATAATTTCTTACTGAGGTTAACTCGCTTGAAATGAATGAATATAAAACCTCCATAAGTTTATCATGTGTAATCATCTAGTTTTCTCATAACAGTTCACAATCTTTAGGCAACGTTCTCCGCGGAGGCATTCATAAATTAGCTGTCAAAACGAGTCCTCGTGTAAAACCTTTCATATGAAAATGAGTTTGATTTGCATGAAAAATAACAAATTTCCATATGAATGGTTTCGCACGAATACTCGTTTTGACAGACAGAGGCACCTTCTTTTGACGACATCATACATTTCCCAGTGACACCATTTACATTTAAAAAAGAGTTGCGCAATACAGAATGAAATAATAATTTAATTTAACACATTAAAACACGATGGAAGGTATCAGAATTAACAGACCATTTTCGTATTCTCGTAGTTGGACGGAACTAGCTTGCATTTGCGGCTCATGCGGGGAAATATCATTAAAGGAGATGAATATAATTTGCATTTGAAAAAACTGCGCGCAATAACCTCAGTTCTCTGCACATAAACCAGTTCCAGTCCAGTACCGAGAATGCGAAAATGGTATATTACTGTTTAGGCCTTATTACAAAGATAATCTCTCTCAAGTTATTGTTAGTTAGACATGATACCCAATGTACCAGTTCTTCCACAAGTAATATTTAATGTTTGACTGTTGCCACGTACTCTGCGTGCAGGTTTTCGGGAGGGGGTTGGTGAAGATGCGCTCGTGGACATCCCAAGCGGGATGTCCACGTCAGCAAATCCTACCTCAGAGAATTGGCTATTTCCAGACCCCCTTGAGACCCCCCTGAGATCCTTGATCCCGCTGGGATCAAGTTCCCCCTCCCCCCCCGAGAGATTGATTAACTTGTTAGTAAGGCCTGTGCGCATCCTCTGTAGTAGTCATTTATTAACTTAGTCACATCGGTCCTTTTTGTTCATAGTCAATGTTAATTCATTCGTAACGTGTTGTCTGTTTTCCGCTGGCTTTTCTAGATGACATTCAAGATTCTTTGACATAGTCATTAAACAGAAGTCTGGGACAAAGGTTGATCTTTGAGTAGCTGTTATTTCTTGGAATAGTAGGCCAGAACACAAGACCAGACATAAATCACGAGACTGCAAGATAATCCCACAAGTGGCGTGTACCATGCTGAAATAAAATGAGATGCTAAGTTTTTACTGGGAGCTAACCTGATTAATAAACAACGGGGATTTAGATAGCTTAATATGACGTAGCTAATCAATGCGCATGCGTTGTCTGTGAGAGAGAAACTACTTCCATATGTTTAATCAGTGATATCATTTTAGAACACTCATTTTCGTACCCATTTCTCCCCCATTTGTATCCACCTCATTTTCATCTTCATCACTCTGGTTATCCCAGTTGTCATGGCAGCGTTGAATATTGATCAATGGTAATAATACAGGCTTGGATGGCAGGCTCATGGTGCGTTTGGAACGTTGCTTGAATAGGACCATGGGTTGACTTTGTGGTTTAAGGGAATGGGAGCGAGTGCTGCGCGAACGAGCGGAGACTGGGCGCAACATGTCACCATCCGCAGACATGTTAGTAGATTTTGAAGATTTAGACTGTGAAAAAAAATGCAAAATTGACAAGGAGTCTAGACGTTTGAGATATCAATTGCCCAGTTCAACGTTGCAGAAGTGTATTCTTCGAAATTTAATCGTGTAACCACTACAAAGACTACCTGGTGCTCTATTGTAGTTTTAGCAAATAATAACAAAAGATGTCAGTAAATAAAGATTTTATGTGATTAAAATTCATCGCCGCGGTGCAATTGCTCACAATTTACAATGTTTACGTTCAAATAAAACCACGCAAAAAACTGTACTGGCTACTTATTTGTGTTGCGATTCACAATGCTGTTGATTATCTCAAATATTCTGTCAAGAGACAATATTTTCGTCTTAATCGGGTTGCTGTATCATTTGATTTTCAGACCATAAGTAAGAAATGAGAAGAAAAAGAAATAAATGTAAAATTTTAAATATCATTCAGTTTGATCTTTATGGCAAAACTTGCAAAAACTAATTTCTAACAATACTGCGTAGTCTTACCTGATAAATTTGGGAATCTGGCATCAACTTGATATTCACGATTTCCACAGCTTTTGTCGCACGAAAAATTTGAATTTGTTTGTCTGAAACTATTATTTCTTTTCAGTAGGTTTCGGGTTATAAATAGCGTATTGCCTTTCGACGGAGGCCGGTCAATATCGATTGCCAGCTGTCGATAAAAACCACGGGAAATAAAAAACCTTCGTTAGAACTAAAAAACGACAAAATTCGAAAGGAAAGAAAAAAGAAGAATCGATTGAAATGGCGAAATGACAATTAGACATGCTTGTCATGCAGGCTCAAAGCGTGGATATCATTTCATCAGTCGCTAGGTAAACGAAGGGAACACAATGGCAAACTAAAATTATGACATAACCCTTGTCAACTTAAAAACAGCATTAGATGACAGCTTGTAAACTGATGGACAGAAATGAGCAGTAACAAAGGAACTAAGACTTTTGTCCGCGTTGAAACAGATCTGTTGATAAAGGAACATAAATATAAACACGAAAATGGCGAAATTCAATGAAAATATATTCAGCAAATACGTTCAACGATCAAAAGGCTGCAATATTAATTCCCATTTCAACTTTATACACGAGTAGGAAATCTAATGTGCCATTTTATTATCATAAACGCTATCAGACCGAATTCTGGGTCCAGTTTCTAGCGACTAGAATGCCAGATTTTCATACTCATGCTGAGGAATCAGATGGCGGGGTATCATGTTTCAGCTGTGCAGCCAGCCTGAAGAAAATGGGCGCTCTCTTTAACCAATTGATATAAAGTCAAGAAAAAAAGATCGGAGAATAAAGATAACCTCCAGAAACCATTGACTGGATATTGTCTGTTTGTATAATTCGGCTCTCCCGAAGACGTTTCATAATTGTGTCAAGACTGTGTTTCAAGTATCGAAAGCAAGAATCAGAGGAATAGATTTTGCAGATTTGTAAATTTACCAGCAAAGTATAAAGCTTGTTGAAAAGCATTCACTTAAAAAAAAAGTAATCATAATAATAAAAAACTAACCGCTAGCGGGATTAACTCTCAACAAACCGTACAAACTGACATCGGTATACTGACAGCTTAAAGGACCTCAGTCACGGGTTGCGCACCTTGAAAAGCTTGGCCTAAATTTTTCAAGTTCGTCGGTCGTAATCCGAGTCAATCTTCCCCATTCTTATCTATCCCAGTTTCTTTATGGTTTACTATTATCTCTTTAGTGTTTTTTTTTTTCTTTTCTTTTTTTTCCTTTATCTTAGTAAACTAATATGTTCAAATTGCCTTCAATTTAAAGGTAATTCTATACGTGGCCAAAATACATGTAACTCAAAATACCGTGATTGAGCTCCTTTCAATTCCGAATATTCGAATTGACGAGTTCACGGGGAATATGCACGCCACTAAATAAAAAATGCAAGCGGAACACCATTCGCTAAACGTAGTTCAAACAACCAATGCAAACGGTTCTTCAGCACTGACAAAGCTAAGAGTCAACATGGTGGATGCACTCTGGTTAAATAAAAAGACTTTCTCGCTGGGAATACTATTACATCCCACGCAAAACAGGTACAGACCACAAAACGTGTCATAAGACTGAATGTGTCTCTGGGACTGAGAAAGTAAGGGGCACCCAACGACCGAATCTTTCCAAAGACGTCAGAAGTGTCGTAAATGGATTTCTCTGTGTTCTAGAAGCCTTTTTAGTTAATTTGGAGATGCCCTAAAAAATATTTATCTGTTCGGATATTTAAGGGGAACTTTAGTCGTTTCGAAAATTCTAGGGTCCTTTTTTGAGTCATCCGAAAGTTTTAGCTATCCTGATGGATCTTGTCGAAAGTTCGAGGACACTGAGA